TACTTCAATTACAATATGAAGGCAAAGAACAGTAATCTAACTCAAAGTCCATATGAACAATACAAATTTGGAGCATAGCAAACATGGACCTCTAAAAACATCAGAAGTGGGATCAGGTGCCATGGAGGTGTAAGCATCTCCTGCCGACCTGTCACACTTGAGTTTTTCATTGAACGCTTTTTAATCTAACATTTTTAGAGCAGACAAAAGTAATCTCTATATTTGATTGATGATTGAAAAAAAAATCATTAAAATTTTAAGTTTTTATCATTTCTAATTATTATTTTTTTTAGTTTTTAAAAGCACTGGGGCTCAAGGAGGCACTAACAAAATCCAAATTTCAAGGTCCTTCCAGTCATATACAAAACAGTTTTTGATTTATTTTCTCTAGAAAATTTAGATGAATTTAAAGAAGAGAAAAGGAAGAGTTGACAAAGTTTTTAATTTTCATCTAGCATGCTTATTAAATCACAAACAAATTCACACTTAAAAGGTCTACAAAATAAAAACTTTTTTTTTTGATGTGACTAATATTAAAAGAACACAGTCATTATCCTGCTAAAGAAATGAAAATTACACCTTAATTCCTTAATCATTAGAAAAGATTAAATATTAGAAAAGAGTATAAAGTGTGAAAGTTTTCAATCAAGAACTGAAATGAAGCCTGGATCAAAGTATGATTGATTTTAATTTACAACATACACAAAAGCATCGTAAAGTTAGGATTAGGGGGCAAACCTTCTTCAAATTTGATAAATTTTCATCAACTTTAATACTGTTTGCACTGGAAAGTAAGTCTATCTTAAATTTTCACTTACAAAATGAATGAAAATAGTGCAGAAATTATTTGTATATTTGAAAGAGAAGTTTCTTTGCGTTCCATGTTTTCTGAAGATGTACATTAAAATTGAAAAAAATCAATGAAAATTAAGGAAATATAGAAAAAAAACAATCAATTCTGCTACCTTTTCTTGATCTTTGTATGTGTTATAATCAGAATTTTTTCAGAAAATAATATTGTCAACGCGTGTTGTACTATATGTTATAATCAGAACTTTTCAGAAAAAAATATTGTCGACACGTGTTTTACTATATGAATCATTGCAATGTTATGTTTGTCACCAATAGAAAGTTGAGAAGCAAAAATGGGTCTTTAACCTACCTTGTTATTCATCAAATAGAAAAATACAAGTGTACTTATATGTCAACGTTCTCTTAAGATACTAGTGAAATATCCTATATCCTACATCGACCTTGGTAATTGAAGTCGTGATTATCTGTTTTCTATTGGGATGCAAAACAACTCTTTAAAAGATAAGTTAATACATCGAATAAGAGTTATTTAGGTTTTTAGGAGAATATAACCAACATACTAGGAAGAAGCAAAAAAAGATATTTCACTTGATTCCCGGTTGACTTTCATCTTCTTCATTAACAGCCATAAATATTCAGTCAATATACTTACATTTTCAACAAAAAAAAAAAAAAAAAAAAAAAAAAAAAAAATATATATATATATATATATATATATATATATATATATATATATATATATATATATATATATATATATATATATATATATATATAGAGCATGGCCCCACCCTATTCTGACTTCTTACCTGCCTCTTTTCCTAATCAACTGTAGATATTGTAATATATATTCTATAATTTCTATGAGAGAATATCGATGGAATATAGTTGTGACGATACTGTTTTATTACAAGTAAAAACGGTAACACCAGAAAGCATTAATGCAACGTCAATACGTCTGTACAAGTTCTAAGGGTAAATCATATTCGTAAGTCATTATCAAGATTTTATCGTAGACGCTAATTCAAAGCGCGTAAAGGAGACGTAAAAACCTGTCATATCGGCGATCTCCGATTGTGGTAAAATGGCACAGCAAATAAGATAGCCAAGTTCTTTTATTGATAGTTCAGTACTGAAGCCATATAATTTACAAAGTATTAACGAAAGTTTAATTTCGATCGATAGGTGTTCGTTCCTGCAAATTCATCGAAGATTTGTTTCTTAATAAAATGTTTCATTGGAACAATTTTTCTTTCCAGAAATCAAATCCGAACACTTTGTTCAAAAAATGAGAAATAAATTAGATATATACTACCAAAGATTGTTCATGGTATTGTCTGGCTTGTAAGAGTGCGAATTGATGTTGCTCGAGGTCTTACTAAATGAAATCTAACGAAAGATGGAGAAATTGTAACAAAATGACCTGCAGGGCAAAAGTTTAATTTTTACTAATTCAAACTATGAAGATTAAAGTAAAAATGGATAAAATTTTTCCACTGCAATGCAATAAATGTATTTTCTGGATAATGTGGTGTTAAAAATGCATTAATATTTGTCTGTCTGACTTTAATATTGTACGTATGACTGAGACCTTAACTAGCTCGGGAAATGAAAGACTCAGATTAGTGGTAATTATTACTTTTGAAGGATGACGTTTACTCAGGGTTTTAGTTGACACAAACGGAATGCTAGAAAGTACAAGATGTTAATTTAAAAAATGTTCTAAATGCACAAAATACATGTAACAATGTTTTAACTCAGTATTAATTCAAAAATTTGATATTTTCTTATTTCAAGAAAATATGCAAGAACAAAAGTAAATTTATAGTGACGCAGAGGAAATTCGGACTAAATTTTTAATTTTAATTTTTTTTCACAATTTTTTTTCTTGCAATATTGTTCATAATGTTATGATTTTGTGTGATTTTTAACACCATTTTGCAAATATTTTGTGTGTTGATGCTTATATTTTATTTTAAATAATGCAATAAGGAATTTCAAAAATATGAACAAAAACCATTCCAGACAACATATCTTAAGAATTTGATCATTGACCTCATATAATTTTAATGTCAGCAGAATAAGGACAACAAAAGTAAACTGTTTCTATAAATAGTTTACAGTTCTTATCATTCAGATTTGTGTAATATTAGATTAAAAATTGGTAAAAATTAGAAAATTGACAGAGGAAATTTGGACTGGAATAATAAACAATTTTATTGTTCCAACTGTTATTGTTTTTTTTTTATATTTAGCAAAACTATTCCATTTTGTTTTCCAAAGAGTTTTGTTAATTGTTATATTTTGTTTATAAAAAAAATTGGTCATATTGTTAAAAAAAAAAAAAAAAAAAAAAAAAAAATTGAGGTATTTTCCAGGAAATAGTCATTGGTCACTAGCACGTAAAGTAGTTATTTGAAAGTGAATAATAACATTACAATCATTCTTTAAAAATTTACACTAGGTGGTTTTTCATTCTTATCAGCGGAATTTTTTTTTGTCATCTGAGTAAACGTCATCCTAAATCAGCAATTCATTTATCTGTCAGCCGGACTTTACTTTTAATGACGTAACTGATATTCTATCTGTTAGATTTTAATTAGGTAACCTAACTTTTTTATATACCATTTAACATTTACCATCTCCTTTTGTGATAATGTACACTTTGCGAAAGATATAGCTATGTTGGTTAATTTTAAATTTTTAATTATGTAAAATGTATTTGAATCATGAAAAAAAAGTTTCTTCTTTACCAATATGCATTTATTCATCCGGTTTAATATTTATTTGTCGCTGCTACTTACATCCTATTAAGATAAACAATCATACATATCAACTTTCAACACAGATTTTAAACGGTGGTGCGGCATGGGATTCATAGCATACCTTCTTCTATAGGTGTTAGAAATATTAATTTGTAAGATTTTTTTGTACACACCTTGTTAAAGCCGGGATATGGAGATTTCTCACACATTTTGTGATGGGGAAGTGTTCTATGATAGCTCAGCGGGTGACATGGGATAGACGGGTATCTTTATTCACCTGAAGCATTTACACGGCCTACGCATAGAAAAAAGATTGCAAACAGATCAAATTGATATTGGAAAAAAAACTGATAGCGACGGATCTAGAAAATATTACAATTGGAAATTGCACTCTTTGAATTTTTTGCTAAAATGCATCAGTAAAAGATATATTTGATTCTGTTCCATTTTTAATTTACTCAATGTGACTTTGATAACGTAAAAGTTTAAACTATTTAGGACTATGATGAACCGATTAAGTCAGTGCTAAGTCTGTATAAATTTCATTTTTGCAATTCAAATCAGTCATTTTTGATATCTATGAAACAATTTTTCATAAAGCAGGGCAAAATTAAGAAGTGACCTCTTCAAATGAATTGTTAACAAAAGGGTATAAATGTATACAAAGAAAATTTCACAATATAAACATTTCATTTTGGGTACTAATATATTAAGTGAAAGGGGGGGGGGTGAAAAAACGGAGCAAGATGTCATACATTGCAAGGAGAGGTAGAATGCTGATTTATAAAGAAACAGATTTATATGAGACCTTAACGTTATTTGCAAATTTTAGTTGCCTATTTGCATGTCAGTTTCGCTTTAAAATCAAAAGGAAACCTCCTCCTAATATCCCTTTGAAACAGAGAAATATTGCTTTTTTTTCTTGCAAAAAAATGTTGAGATCAGTTGCATGTATTAAAGAATCGGTTCTTTAACAACATCTTTTTCGATCGATACTTGCTGTTCGTCACTTTGTAGTGGGATACCAACATAGTTTCACATATCATGATTTAATCAAATACGATTAGAGTCGAATAACATCATATAAGTACTAGTTATTTTAATATACTCGGTATACTGAGTTCTTCCTTCGATGTTTGCAGAAAAGGCGTGTGCCTTCTGCCGTCCTCTGAGAGGAACTTGGAATTCTATTATTATCCAACGCAACCACAATGTCTTATAATGAAAGCCCATCTACTTAATTGTGCAAAACGAGGCATGAAAATTATAATGAAAAACTACTGAGTTTGCATACAAGTTCATTTCATTTGATGGTCTCTCTCATTAGGGAAATCTTGAACATGGAAATTTTACTGCTGTGTATAATTAAAGGGTTGTGTTTACAATAACTTAGATAAATGAGTTAATTGTGCTATATTTCAGATATGTTATGAAAGCTCTCCTGATGGCCATTACAAGAATATTGGATCAGAAGAACTGCCAGATTTGGTAACCCGGATGCCGTCACATAGGAAATACGAGATCGCGTAGGAATACTGCAATACGGTAAAATGTCAAATGTTTTTATATTGTCTCACAGTGCTAGAGTTAGTAATAACAATGGATGTAGCAGCTGACAGTGAGTAGAAAAGCTGTAATGATAACAAATAAATCACCTTAATTAAAGGAAGAAGCTGCTTGACTCCGCATCCAATATTTCTACACAAGAATGGGACTGTGATTTCAGAGTACAATGACAAGTTTATGCTTTTTCCGTTAGTGCTATAATGGATAAAGGGATGATGTAAATTATTGTTCAGCTTAAATAAAGAGTAGAAATTGAATTTATGGTTGACAGATACAGAATGTTCTGAAGTGCGTCTCTCTGGACCCTTTGTCTCTGATGATTTCTCATTTCATTTCCTTGCACGTAGAAAATGATGGACATAACCAGCAAACTTCGCTTTCGGATAAAAACGGCAAACGAGACATTTGAAGCCATGGTGGATAGCTACCACACGGACGAGGACGACATCGGGGCCTTATATTACGTCGTGGCTGTCGTCATGATTTACGGACTCTCCATCGTTATGATGATTGCGTCACATATACGCAAAAACAAACAAGACAGTCAGTTGAGGAGCTATCTCAAAGAAATGTCTATTCTTCGCAAGAACGACAGAAGAGAACGGGTTTACAATCGTGTAGCCAACGTTCCGTCTAGTGCTAAACCACTGCTGGGTAAAACTCGGAGTGATCCAAAAAATGGAGCCTTACAAGAAACTGACGATGAATTCAATGATGTGAGGATGACGAGTAACGGCGATGAGACCAGTGACTCAGTGTTTCAAATGTCGTATGAGGACACATCGGAAGTTGTTACTTCTGTCGAAACACAGAGCAGAAAGTCTAGTAGACAAAGTAGTACCCAATTTCAAGTCATTGATGAAAACGTACCTTTGTGACCCGAATTTCTATGTTCGAATATATGTATTCATGTCTAAGGATTTGAACATGATTTGAGAAACGTGTGTTCAGTGCGCTATTTTACAGGAAGCTCAGACAGTTTGGAAACAAAGGGTACGTTTTGCGTCGTGAAATGATTAAACCATATTATTATAAATCCATCGAATTGTTTAAACATTTTTTTTGCATCCTGTTTTTATATATTGTGTAATTTCCGTGAATGTTTTGCAAATTGTTACTTACAACTTTATGTTTTAAATCAAAAAATCTTGGAAAGTTGAAACAATATGTGTAATTGTATCTATCGGTCGTTGTGTAGCAACGTGTTATCTTATGAAAAAAACTCTCAGTTATCACGTAAAAAATAAACAAATATACTTACTATGTAAATTTGTTTATTTTTTACGTGAATACTAAGAGTAGATGTGTAAAATTCCATGTGCAAGTTTACGTTTTTTTCCGTAACTTAATCTTTAAGTGTTTTTATGTTGTCCGTTGATATTGATTTTGTTGGGTGAAGCTCGAACCCTGAAAAACTTGAAGCTCAAACTCTAGGAGTACATGCAACTTTTCTTTTATTCTATATATGTGAGTATCTAAAATCACATCATCAAATTGTCATATGGTGGTAAACCAAATTATTTTTATATGTAATAAATGTAATTAATTTTTCTCGGTTTTCGATTTATTTTCTATCAAAAATACATGTATACTTAAATGTATAAAATGTGCAATCGGCCATGAGAAAACTTCGAAAAAAGATTTCAAATATCCCGTGAGATTTTTTATGTTAAAACAAAATGGAATTTTTTTTAAAGGATTTTTATTCCGTTCAAAGTTTGAAGTGTGCTTTAAAGTAACAAAAAGAGATATAAAATCCACCATTGATAAAATTTGGCATTAATGGATTAATTTGAATCCCTCAGTGATATAATTGTATCATATTCAACTTCCTTGTTAAAGCTTCTGTCACACCACGGAGATGGCACGGCGTTAATAAATTTCTGGGATCGCCAATGGAATTTTAGAAAAATTATGCAATTTTTTTTTAAGTTTTAAAAGATATAAAGAGATGTCGCGGCGTCCTGAAGTTTCTACAGAGCTTACGCGGCGTGCTACTGCGTTCCTATGGAGTTCTCACTCCCGCAGAGTGCTAATGACGTGCTAGGAGTTGTCACTTCATGGAGTGCACAATGCGCTAATTGTGTGCACGACTTAGTGGTATCCCAAAGGACTTCGAGGAGTTCTGTGCAAGCGCCGTCGACTACCACTGCGTCCATACTGCGATCATGTGCGTCACTAGAGCTAACGGAGCGCAATGGATCTCACGTGGCGCTGTTGAAGATCTTACCGCACTGCTACGATGACGTTTCTACGGCGTATATTAGAATGCAGATCGAGCCACGGTGCGTACTTTGTGTATGCCGTTGCAGTTGTTCTAGGCGACCCAAACGTGTCACTTGCAGATGCCACCGTATTGTTGTGGCGCTGTTAGACACTCTTCTGCGCGCACCTTGGCGTTCTGTTTAATCTCATAGACGCAGCGGAATCGCCGCGTGGACGCACAGGGGTTGATACATGTAATTAATCTCTAATGGTGCGACGTCCATCAATGATGAATCCTGTATTTGCCACTGGTAGCGATGTCTTTCACTAATGAAGTACAAATTCGTCCACTTATGATGAAAATGACACATTTCATTAATGGATGCAAAGAATCTACTAATGCAATATCTTATATCATTAGTGGCTACTACCGAACACATAAGAAATCTGTCTGTTGGGAGTTGTCGAACTTTGGACAGTTACAAGGAATACTCCTACAGTAGCACGTTTTAAGAAAATGCTGACTTTCTCGAGTAATTTCGCAGCTTTTCACGCACATGAACTAATTAAAAGCTATTCTTTATTACACAGTTTTATTTTCTGGACCAATATAACTCTCTTTCGAAAGGTTAAAAAAATTTCCCTCAATATAGACAACAGTGTTTGCTAAAAAATGACAAAATTTTGTCATATTTAGAACAATTTTCATTAATAAGTTTTCATTATTTCATTTTTTTTATTTAAGAACATGTATATTTTACAAAGTGAAGATCATCAATTTTTTGATAAATTATGTCTGTATATTAGTATCCAATAATAAAAAGTCTAAATAAAAGGTTTTTAAGAAGTCACCGAGCTTAAAATTCTTAAATAAGATCATACGAACCAATTTTGAACGTAACCATAAAAGATGAACGATATTTGAGATCTTGATATTTAAAGAAGGTGGATTTTGGCGAAATATGTTTCAAAACTGAGATACAAGCATGACAATAAAACTTAAAATATCTTATGATTTTTTTCATAAATTAACCTGTTGTATGCATAAAACTGTCCATAAAGTTATTTTTCTGCAAAAAACGACGTATACCTCTCCTCTTGCATATATTTACGTTTACATCAAATTTACTACTACATGCTATGAAACGTTTCAGTATAATTCCCATTTTCCTTGGGAAGGCAATAGTCCGATTGTTCCATTAGTTGATGAAAGTCCTATGCCGAATATGTTACAAATCCGTGTCAACAAGTCCATCCAATAACAGGATATTTGCTGATATTTGCCTTTTTCCATACTTCGATCAATAAAACAAAGTCTTATCAGATAAAAAGGTATTTTTCATGCATTACTTCATTGGTTTTTCGCCCGATTGTGTTGATTTTATCAAGAAGTCTCAATGCTTCTGCTAAACAACGAACATACTTTCAGATATTTACAGAAAGGAGATTATCAACGTTAATTCTGTTGCCTTTGTATTGCTTTATTGTTATCGACATTTTTTTGAATAGGAAACAGTTTTATGGTTTGAAAAATTTATTTAATTGTGTACCTAAAAATACATTACAGCTACATTTGCAATAAACATAAAAAACATACACATAAAAGAAACAAATATGCTGCACTTATTTATAGATCACAGACACTTGTTTGGCCATTTGGATACAACAAATACATTGTACAGATAAATAATTATATTTAAGACAAACTACTTTTGACTAATAGTAAATTTTACTATATTGATAAATAAAAAAGTCATTAGGGAGCAAAATTCTTCTCTGAATGTTTTACATAATAGAACATGCTTTGGACTTTGTACTCAAGTACATCAGTGTGTCGGAACTCGGTCTAAAGGCAGGGGCAGGTTCAATCTCCTTTAGTATTATTTTATCCGTTTTGTCTGTCGCAATGGCAGACACTGGTCTTGACTGGGGTGCACTGCCACCCTCCTCAACTTTGTCCCAAGGAATAGAACTGCGACGCCCCGAAACAATTTTCGGTTCCGTTAATTGTCTGCTGCCGAGATGTTCAAGAACTGTGTCCGGGTCCTCTACTCTTGGATCTATCAAGACATAAGAAGCGATAGAACCGTCTTCGCATCCAACAACCAATGTTCTTTGGTCTCTACTGAGTTTCAAGCAACAAATATTTGAATGGACGTCGCAGTGTGCGATTATTTCACCGGAACTAAGACGGTACGCAGACAGTACACTTCTGTCATAATAAATAACTACAGTTCCATTCAAAGCAATAACTCGGGGTGGAGAATTTTGTTTTGGTAATTGCCCAATATAACAGCCTTCACGTAGGTCGAAGACATTTGATTGGTCGTCCAGACAGAAGGAGTAGCTTTCATCAAATAAAAGTTTTCTTTTGAGTTTGAAGCTTGGTACTAAGAATGGATCACAGATCGTGACCACAGAACCACTGCAGATGTCAAGGATCATAAACCCGTATCTGGCTCCGCCACCAAGTCCTCCGAAGGGACTATTATCATTGTAGTCGAGGATCTCTTTTGACCTATACATTACAGCAATCGTGTACGGATTGTCAAAGCATGGCTGCATGTCCACTATGGAGTCAATCAGGATAGAATCTCGAAAACTGTCTGGTGTAAAGTACGAGACTTTCATCTCTTCGTCCATTGAAAATGTACATATGGTTGGTGTTTCATATTCATCTCGAGATTCGTGATATTCATGTGCGGTCAGAACAATCAAGTATTTATCATTGCTAGTCAGGAAAGGTTTCTCCAAAACAAACCGCAAGGCCAAAGGATGAGTAAACTCTTCGACTTCACCATCGCTCATCTGGAACATGGTTATGAAGTAGGGCGCTTTAAAAGCAACTTCTTGCTGAGACACAAACAAGATAAAGTTGCTCTTGTGTGGTGAGATGCAGTAACCTGAAGCATTACCAAATTCTTTGATGACCTGTCTCTCTTGCAGATTCCAAAGTTTGGTACAAATGTCCTTTTTCTTCGGTTCAAGAGATACCAGGGCATAATCACCACTTGGTGTGATAGCAAAGTTGACTACAGGACTTTCGTGTGTAAGGAGATCCACCATTATACCACTCCTCATCTCGATGACACCGATCTCATCACTACCTTTGCACATCACGTAGGCAGTTTCTCCATCTTGAGTGAGTTGAATATCTGAGATTGGTCCCGTTAATTTATCCAGCAAATTAACTGGTTTCACAGCGTCGTCAAGATTCCACACCTGAATTTCATGACAATGTTCAATGTGAGTAATCAGAAGACTGCGTTTGGGAGAATATAGCATTTCCTTTACTATTCCTACAGGAGCTTGAATAGTGGTCACTAGTTCGTTAGTGGCAACATTCCAGAGGTAGATATTTCTAAAGATTGTTGCAATAACAAATTTACCGCCATGCGTAAACTCTGCGTTTGTGAAGAACAGATCAATGTAGTGGCTTCTGGGAAGTTTGAATTCTTTTGGAACGTCTACTGGTCGCTTAAATGATGCCAAGACTTTTTCTTTGGATCTATTGTAGACAACGATGTTGTTCAGTCCCCGAACAAGAACCATGTCGTCCTTAGGAGAAACTCGCAGATCCATGATTGTGTCTTCAGGCATATATTTGTCTAAAACACTCTTGTACGCCATTTCCACTTTGCCATGGTTCAGATGAAGTATCATTAGCTTTGTTTCAATGTTATTTGTCAAATAAGCTCTCAAGCCGTCTTTGCTAACAATTATGCAACTTGGCCGAAATCCTATGGAAAACGTTGACAGAAGTTCTAATGTGTACAAATTGTAAGTAAACAGAAATTCATTGGAATTGCAGAACACGTATTTTCCATCATGCGATATGGTACAAACATCACATTTCCCATCAAGACCAATAATTTGTAGAAACTGACAAGTTTCGATGTTTGCGATGCAGAGGTAGCTTATGTCAGTGCTCACGATGGCACATACTCGGTCGTTTGTGAGACAAATTGACCCCAATTTATATTTCTCTTTTGGTTTCAATTCTATGTGATTCAGCACGATCAGTTGACCAATGTAAGCCCCACTATCTGCGTTGTGAACTTTAACGGCCTTTTCTGTGACATGGTCAACAATGATAAAGTATCTGCCGTTTGGAGTCACGTAAAGAGCACCATTAGAAGCAAAAACACTGGACTTCTTCTCTCCAAGAACAACGTCAAAAATATGCACAAAGGAACTTTCGCGTTCTTTAGTCAGAAGTAAACGCTCATCGCCAATAAGACTAAAGTATTCCATTGGGGCACAGCACTGTAAAGCAAACTGTAGAGAACTTCCTGGTATCTGAAGATAGGGGAAGTTCGGTATCAAGGCACATTGTTTCAATCCAGCTGTATCACACTGGTGCACTAATGCACGAATGTTTGGATGAGATTGGTAGTAAGGCAGCAGATGGCCTGATATTTCAGATGCCATATTGTCGATGTCTTTCTCAATGACCTGCTCAGCGACTCTTAAAGCTTCCTCAACAAGGGAAGCTTCATTGCTGGGATTTAACGCAAAGTCTGCTATGATGTGTTGCAGGGACAAGGCCTTAATTTTGTTGTAGATCCATTCGTAATTGAACAAAACAAGACGATTGAGTTCCTCTAAACGTTCGGCATTGTATAAATGGCGGGGAACTTGGTCGTATTTTCTCCTGTTAAACCGAACCTGCCCATTGCAGTCAAAAGTAAGGGGTTGTGATGGTACCTGCCGATCAAATGATTGGCTTTTCGTCTGTTTCCCATTATTTGAGAGCGGTTTGGGTTTCCCATGCCAGATACCCAAGTAGTAGTCTGCGATCAAAGAGTATATTTCCTTCGACTTTGACTCGTCACTTAGATATCTTGCTTTAACATTTTGATCGAATTGTTCGTCTTTCCACCGATATACAGTCACTCCGTCCACTTCCCTTTGAACTAGAAAGCGGTCTATGTCGTCTTTTAATCGCAGCCATTTGCTATGGGGTATTCTCCAAAGAGACGGTTTGTGATTGGTGTACACAGTACTGGTCACAGAATCGTCCAATGACAACAAGTCTTCCATTTCGCAATCACTGAGCCCAGTAACGGATCCTACTAAATAAGACATGGACCTAGAAACCAGCTCATAGCCATGCATCTTCTCCAAGGCTGTAAACATGGCACTGATGGCGTCATCGAAATTTGTGCAGAAGTCGGCAGTGTCAATAGAATCGCTAGAATGAATACATTTACACTTTTCAGCACACAAGGACACAAACAGAGGTTGTGAACACTTTTGGAATATATTGGTAAATGCACTTCTTTGTTGCTTTGACAGCGTGCGACCATAACGGCTGAGGTAGTAACATAACAAGCCATCGGCCTCAGTCACCGACAGTGGTTTCAAGTCTACGTAGTATTGAGAGCTTTTGGTGCCATCATTGCATAATTTTTGCGCGATTGCATTGTCCCCTGTATTGACGCTGAGAACGATTTTCACATTTGACTTCAGAGATTGTGGAAGCCAGGTCAACAAATGTGCATTATGGTCGGGGAGAATTCGTTCAATGGCATCAAAGAAAAGCACTAATGTTTTGTTTTCTGGGATTGATTGTAAAAGAGATAGAAAGAACTTCTGCAGTTCTTTAAAGTCCCGAGTAACAGACGCGTGGTCTCGTTTTAATCCCACCAGAATTTGCGTACAGACTGAAGTTAATAAATTCCGGATGTCTGTGCTTTTCGGAGTGTATCCCACGTACTTAATTATACAAATATTGTCAGCCGCCATTATGTCGTGCACCTGGTAAAAATGAAAATCAAAATATCAATTTAAATTTCAAATCATTGAACGCAGGAATTCAAAATGCATTTAAATTTTAAATGGAATTTAATTTGATAAACATTTTCATTGAATTTACATTCGAATCGTTTGCTAAGAGGATATTATTGAATGTAAATAAAATGTTTAACTTGGAATATGACACCTAGATGTTCATAAACACAGACCTGAGAGGCGACTTTGCTCATCAGAGACGTTTTTCCAACGCCCGCAGGGCCATGAATTACCATAGGTTGGTTCGTCTCCCCACGAAGATATTCAACAAGTTTCCCATATTCCAAATCACGGCCGAAAAAATCTGCAGATATGTGTTTGCACCTTAACCAGTGTTGGTGGCACTCATCGTAAAGTTCATCTTTTTCATCAACCACAACTTTCGGGACTTCTCTGTCAATCAGCTCTTTCAAAGCTGACGACAAGTCAGAACACAGATTGGTCAAATATTCTTTATGGTGTTTTGGACTGATGACGTCATCATAACGCCATAAAACGCTGTAAAATGTTGTGTTCTTGGCAGTGACTAATTTTGTACATCGCTCTGACATCGTTTTTATCAGATGGGTAGAAACTGGGTCTATTTCGAATTGTTCTGTTCTTTCGTTATAGTATATATCCGCATACTTTTTTGCTAATGGATCGTCCACATAATTTTTCAGATCAGCAATTTCCCGAAAAGCAATCAAACAACGATTTTGTGGTGATGATAATTCATCTATTCCCATGACCATTAGGTTATCAGTCGCTATAAAACAGATTAAAACATAATAGATTAATGGATTTTGATGGAAGTGCATTACAGGAGAACTAACATTTGATTTCCACCAATAAAGAAAAAAATAATAAATGATGTTAACAGGTTAGAAGCTAATTCGTATCAAATTTCGAAAATAGTATTTCTTAAAATCTCGTGGGTCGAATGCTATCATTTATTTATTGTGTATGTGACAGATATACATGGCATAGCAAGTTAATCGATTGGCGACTAGGAAAGGTGCATTTGTTGCATCATGTTTCATTGAAATATTGATTAAGTGCAGAATTTGACTGGTTTATACCTGACAACACGTATTTTTGTTTAATTCCCTCATCGATAAGGCCCTGAAGGTAGCAGGCATCCGCTGCTTTGTGAAGCAATCTCATCATTTCTTCTTCAATTTCTCTCCATTTTTCTAGCCCTTCGTTGAATTCAGAATGATCTTTCTACAATAATTTAAAAATACATGAAGATTAGCAAGAATTAAGCAAAATCCTTTTTTTTTTTAATTTCATTAATGATATTAACTAGGAAAAAAATTGTCTCTCAAGGCAGGCATACCGAGAAAAGTGCTGGAATTCCTTTTCCAGCGTCTTTGAGGAAATAGACTGGAGGCAGAGAGTTGTAGTCCTTAGTGTACCAATCATCCAATAGGGGTGCTGTCCTTGTGTCTCGACTCTTTTGGTTATGAAGCCACATCCTCAGAAGTTCGAACTCCTCGGCTGGTATTGAGGACTGAAGACAAGCCTTGCCGTACCGTTGTCCTATGAATGCCTTTTTAAAGTACAGTATTTTTTTAAATCAACAATTGTTCTTTCTAATATCATTTGAAGACAAAAAATAATATTAAAAAGGAAGAAATTCCTGTATATGTTGATAGCTAAATGACGTAAAACACCCATTTATGAACATGTTTTTAATTATTTTTTTTTTTACTAAGTCATGATTTTGACGAATTTTGTATGTTATATCTGGAAGGAATTTATGAGGCCTCTGACCTTCATGATATGATGTCTGGGAGTCAAGTTCAGAAAGTTAACGATACCCGTGTCCTAATTATATATCGAGTATGAGTGATACTGTTGTATTGTTTTTGGCATAAGATTAGAGCAAAGTACACCAAGATATTTGTATAGCCAGTGTCACTGGTAAAGGTAATTGGAATGGAAGGCAAATAAGCCAGAACTTGCGTTTCTACATTGTCTAAGAATTTAATATACGTATGCAGAAACGATGCACATCAAAAACAGATCTGTTCTCGTGCTTGATTAAGCCACTGCTTTTTATTGATGCTGGCGTTTATGTGCATATTAATTTTCCGTGCATGTTCACTCGGAAAAAATCTTTGGAATATTAATTCATTAATCATGTGTTATTTACACACTCAAACCGTTAATAAATTGCTTTCACATAATGAGCTAATTAATCTTCTACAGATTAATTAATTATAACAGCTGTAATGTGGTTTTTTAAATACCCCTTTTAGTCAATGGGAGATCAAGACGATAAAACAAACATTATATAAAGTGCACTCATTAGCAGAATTCACATATTTAATAAATCTGTAAACACTTTGTCATGAAAGTTTTTACTTACCAAAAAGCTCGGTCCGGCTGAGAGAATTTGACATCTTCGGAGTTCACGCAATCTAAAGTCATAGAACGTCTGGTCCAAATTGACACAGTTTGGGTCAGAGCCCCAGTCTAGGTCCACCAGCTAAATTAATTCATAACAGTATCAATTATAATACTATTACAATGCTTCAAAAACATAAATCTACAATCACATGTAAAACATGAGAAGCATTTTTTTCATTTAGTTTTCTTTTTACAACATTTCGAGACCAATTGTTTTATATTTAATTTTTTAACTTTAGAAAATCTTCATTGTTCTTGAATAGTTCTACAAATCATACATATTTTCTCATGTAGATCATGGATTTATGAAGAGGTGGTTGGGGAGGGGGTAATTTAAGCTAAGACTAGGGTTACCTGAAACTCCACCCCATATTTCTGTCGGCAATAGTCTCGGAGCTCGGGGTAAACTTTCTCAGCAATAGCGTTTCTCTCTGTCACGCTGTCTATAAAACAAACACGCCATTTATTCCTTTGTCAATATTTATCATACAATAACAATGTACAAAACTCAAATATACGAAGATTGATTTAAAAATTAAACCGTACTCTTAAATGAATGCAACAATGACAAGGGCCTTTTGTTCCGTCAAAGAAAGCGAATTTTCATAAAGATTATACTTAGGCACTTCAATGCTTTGTGATATGTTTAAACATTCTGTATTAAGATCGAACTTTTTGCTTAAAATAATGGACAGAGATCAAAAGTTATCAAAACACAGAGTTTTTTCTCAAGCTTTAAATCTATTCATAAGCCTTTCAGTCAATTTAATAATGTAGCGTACATGGCATGTCGATCATATGTTTCTATACACAAAGCTAGTACAATGTATCACCCATCAAATAATGATAAACTCGTTTTAATTTTATCTGCCCGTTTCCAAAACCATTTTCACGTAAATAATTATAACGTCTTTACCTTCAGCCGCGAAGTTTAGAAAAATTCGAACGGTTCTCGCCGGAATTTCTGGTATCTGCTCTATCCGAGTGTGTCCTGATAATAGCTTTTTCGTCACTTCATCCATCTTCTTTATTCCTTTAAAACACTGTCTTTTTCACGGCTACTGGGTTTCATCTTCACCGTTCCTCAATACCGGTGCGATATTCTCCATGCTGTGGTCACAGTGTTGACATTCTCACGATTATTGACAACTTACTATAACATGGATCATCGGTAACCAAGGACGCTAGGCTAGAGTATTTTAAAAATAGTTTTATAGCCAATCAGCCATATTTAAATGGCACAAACTATCACAACTGCTCAAGAGGAAACTCAAACTTGTCGTGGTCGTTAAAAAAATCTAAGTGGATGAGATATACGCAATGAAACACTTGTCCCTTTAAAAGCTATTGAAAAAAAAAATAAAACGTGCGCAAATTCTTTTTTCTCCCATTCCACAAGGGTTATCTCATTTAGAAGCCAAAGTATTATAAGACTTTAAAGTTAGGGAACATTTTTAAATCACCAAATGATTTTAACTTTTTGCTTCGTATAAATAAAACCTTTCATTATCAGGGACAAGCATCATTAAAACAGCTTGACAAAAAAGTCCACAAAAATGCATGTTTATGCAGTTTGTTGTAATTTTTCAAATTCATTTATATTTCTTTATTCTATGCAAAACAATTTCTTAAATATAAATTCATTCCATAACCCCCTCCCAGCCATCGAAATGATTTCTCACAGACATAATGCAGTTATTGAAAATATACTAATGCAAAATTTCTGAAATATCTTAGCCTTGTGGGGGGAAGCGAACATATAGGCAAAGGGAAGTATTTTAAATCACACATGCTGGAATGTATTTAAAGAGTAAATAAAAAGGATTGGGAAGATCAGGGTTTTGCATTTATATGCTGGACTTGCACTAATTAATCAATAATTAGTCAATTGTAGTAGAAGAGAAACTCAGTTTTGTTCAAATGACTCTCTCTTCCCAAAAGTTTACACAGCGATATAAAGGTTTTTAAAACAAAAAAATATCATCTCATGTTCATTTTGATATGGCTTTTAATCATTAAATTATTATATATACATGGACAAAATGGTTATTTATTAAGATCTGTTCGTTCTATTTCCCTCGATTTAATACACACACATGTAGGTCTCTAAGGAGATATCAGAGGAACTTCAATTGAATTTCATTTCTGTAAGAGTCAGCTATATGGCCGCCTATAACCTATTCGTCGCCATAAACCACATCATCTCCGCCCTGCCTTTTGACAACAATTTAATAAAGTACACAAGCACGGATAATTCAAGATGGTATATATGAAATTTTTAGCTCTACCGTATGATGTATCCATCCACCCATTCCTATTTTTTTTCCGCCCACACATTTAACGTTTTAAATTTTCAACGATTTACTTCTTCAGTTGGACAAATACAGTAGGTGTAATTTAGAACATTTTATAAAGTAAAAATCTGCAACAATAATACAAAAAAAGTCATGTTGCAGATTTTCATTTGACAAAATGTCAGAAGACGGTCTCATGAGTGGTCCGGGGAGAAAAAATTATTTAGGTAAAATTTGTAGACTTAAATGTACATGTAGGACATAGGCCTCATGTAGTGTGACTGACGCACCAATATCCCGAGATGAGATTAGTATATTTTTTTTCTTCAAAATTCACTTGCTGTTCTGCTCTTGAAAGGTTCTAAAATCATAAATATGAAATAGAATAAATTGTAAATAATCTGTCAAGAAAAGTAATTACAGTTTCTATGCTTAAACATTGGATTTTTTTTCTTTGAATGTTTGCGTGCCATTAGTCTGGAACCTTTCTTTGCTAGCTCGGTCGCACGAGGAAATGAAGAATATTAGCAAAAAAAAGTTTTTAAGTAAATCCTTTGTTTGATATGCCTGTCAGACATTCGGCAAACCTCGGCAGATTTCGGTACCCTACATCTTAGATGGAATCGGCCGAGGTGATCCGAGTGGCCTCTCAGACTCTCACTTGATAAAAAACAGCTTGATATTTGTTTCATGGAAAATTACGATATCAATCAATTTTGAAGATGCATGTAAAATTTTCCTCTCATCCGATCGGTAGCAAAGGTTTTTCGTGGGCGGCGAAGTTAATATTAACTGGCTATGAACTTTTGATGTTAACATATCAGTATAGCCAAAATATATTTAAGGCTGGTTTCTGCAGAACCAAGGAGTATTTATTTATCCATCAAAATTATCAATATATATTCCATACGTATATTTACTTTGATTTTACTTAAACATACAAGAATTATTTGGAATTTGTTTGACATATGTACGTAACTCTTCGTGTCTTGTATATACACACATCGTTTAAGCATCGGGGGCAGGTAGATCAAAGATTAACTCTTGGGCCCTGTTCTCAAATTACAGAAAACCAACAATTGTCCCGTACGAACAACATCTTTTTCATTACACAGCTTTTCAATACGAATAGTTCCGTACATTTTCACTACTTTTTAATTTGTAGCTACAGGATTATCTATAGTTTTAATGGCTGTTATGGTTTTTCCAGAGACCATTAGCCATACGGCGAACAATGGAAGCCCAGTCCAGTATTTTTATCTACATACATAAAGTTTGGGGAGAATAAGTGGTATACCTATATTGCCGTTTTCTTTCTTTTCCGTCAGTGAACCCCAAAAAAACGATTCGACTAACAATGTCCATGATTTTACCCCGTAAAGACAGGCATATCGATATAAAGGCCAACATTTCATTTACGCTGAGGTTTATTTTTTGTGTATTGTAGTATATTTCGTGTCTCACTTGGATAAAACACAAAAAACACAGCGATCGAGTGCAACATTAAGAATTCTTTCCGAAACAGCATTTGGAAATAACATCGTATAGATTAAAATGAAACCTGAGTTTATCGGATCAATTTATTTCACTTATCTTTTCTTTGCATCCTGTACATCGACTGACTTTCCAGTGAGAATATCGAACTCTGGCAAAATTCGCGGACGAGTAACTGAGCGCGTCGCCGGATTTCCCGTGGAAGAATACCTAGGAATTCCCTATGCAGCCCCACCAACGGGAGTAAAACGATTTCAGGTATTGTCTGTTTGTCTGTGTGTGGTTTACTTTTGTTTCGTAATTGCTTTCTCGTTAACCCAAGATTGCATACAGAAACAGCGATGTGATAGAAGGAATTGTTTTTGGCAGAACACATAACGCATTGTGTGGAAGCGAGAAGTACTCTCCTCATTTTTCTTTCCACTTAATTAATACACGGCAAGGGTATGTGATAAAACTTTAAATTAACATTAAGATCAGAGTTATGATGAGTTTATTATCAGATTTAGATCTGTTTCACTAGGGCTACTGAATTTGACCCACAGTGAATAAAAATCAAGCTCTAACCATACATTTTACGATTGTTAATTACTTAATAAAAGTGTTAACACGGATGCATCCTGTGATTGATACTCGTCTGATTAAAGAGGTATCTTATTTTGATATCGTTTACAAATGCTTTATTTATTTATTTATTTATTTTTTTATTTATTTTTATTTTGTATTTTATTTATTTATTTTTATTTTGTATTTTATTTTATTTTATTTATCTATTTTTTTTATTTATTTTGCGTAGAAATTTTAAAAATTCTATCATTTTATTTTTTAACTTTATTTTCTCATGAATTTCTTTGCAATTGTCTAAAAAGAATGTTTTAATTTGCAGTGATTATTATACAGAACCTAAAAAAATTTAAGATGCAAATAAACTCTTTAGAGTAACTATAAAAATGTAGGACTATAGCTTTGACTTTGGCAGTTAAAACATTTGTACAGTATAATTAGAACAACTTCAGATTTAAATTATTTCAAAAATTAAAATTTGTTTGAAAAGCAAAATCAATGAACTGGAAATTTATAAAATTAGTTTTTATTTCTTTATTCAGTTCTTGATTATTTATTTATTTATTATCATTTATTTAACAGAGACCTCGTGAACACGTCCCATGGACAGATATATTGAATGCGACAAAACTACCCCCGGCTTGTTATCAAGGAGAAATTAATGCTGGATATATTAAACAACACATGCCAGATTTTGATATGAATTATCAAAATGAGGACTGCCTATTCCTAAACATTTATGTTCCAAAGGTATCGTAATTATTGTCACTGTCAGTTTAATTAGTATTGTCAGTCTGATCAGTATTAACAGCATTTTCAATTTTATTTATGTTTGTGCAAAGACATCAACTACGTGTAAGAATGGTTCCATTTGATAATATTGTTGAACAGAATGTTATTGCGTTTGAATCATAATTATAGGGACTGGAGGGTTAAATTATAACTTGATTTGGTTCTCTTGGATAAGCTTATATTTTTAAGTGCCGTGATAAAAGTATATATGATGTTGGTGGTTCTTGAAAGTTAAAACTGGATCATAATAATACATGTATCAAAAAATACATCCGCCTTTTAAACAACTTTACTATACCAAAAAAAAAGAAGTTTATCAACGGCTAAATGAACAATTCAGATCTCCCTAAGAAATAATAATTGAGCTAATTTTTTCAATAGAAACATTGGGGAAGTGTTTCCATTAATGTTTAGCAAGCTATCTTAATATGAGGAGCAGATATTTTTGCCACCAACTTGATTTTACAGTTCCATACATACCCCTATACCTGTACAAATAGGCTACCTTTAGTTTAGGGCCGTGTAAATTCACAACAGCATAAAAACATGCTTCAAAATATTTTTCAAGGTTTATAGCTATTAATTCTATAATAATATTTTTAACAAACTTCCAAAGTTGCTTACCTTCACCATTTTATTCCTTTCAAAATGTAACATTGTGAGAATCTAACGTCACAAAAATGACGTCACAATTAACATTATCGTCATTGATGTATGTTTCAGCGTATTGAAGTCAATGACGATAATATGAAATTGACATAAAATTAGAGAATGTAAATATAAGCATTGAATTCTTATGTTAGGTTGTCGTCGGTCGTTACTGTACGTTATCTTCATCCCAGTCATTCGCATAACAACTCAAAGCCGTACTGACAAATTATCATACCGCGCGATATTCAACTTTTCGGCACGACCATGTACTGTCAATAAAAAAAATAAGAATTCAGTGCTTATATACTGACAGATATAGATATAAGACGTCTAATATTTTATGTCAATTTCATAAATCTTAAGTATGAATTTAGCGCCTTTCAGAACTGGTGTGGTTGATAGACGTAAGCCGTTTTGACGCGGAAAGTTAAATAACGCAAATGAATATTGCGAGGGGAAAATGACAGATTAATTTTGAACGTTATATTTTTATACCAGTTTAATTGTCTTATTGTTCTTAATGAAAATGAGCCAAAACAAAATACTTTTTGTGTTCCTTGTGTATTGAAAGTGTATGTAGTTCCTTTTGTGTAGCCTACCGTGCCGTGACAAGGTTGCTTGTGTGCTATGTGATGTCATTTAAAAAATAACACAAGAGCAAACCAATATTTCTTTTCCACAACCTAAGAGTATGTTCAATTTCAACCACATTTAGGGGGCAAAAATTCATGTGCCGTCCACTTCTTAAAATCAAAATGACGCCATCTTAAATTTTTTCAGTCTTTGGAAAAGAATATGAGCTATGCGGTAATGTTTTACATTCATGGCGGGTCCAACAGAGCAGGAATGGGTGCCATGTTGCCAGGCGACATACTGGCTGCCCACGGACAAATCATCGTCATCAATTTCAATTATAGATTAGGTCTTTTAGGTACTGCATCTAGCAAAGTCAATATTTAAAAACCTAACTGAATCAATTTGTGAAAGTTACGAAGTTAAAGTTATAAAGTGCCAAAGTTTTTATCAATTTTAAGGTTTTTTGTCTTCGCCCCAACACAACTTTACTGGAAATAATGGACTTTTGGACCAAGTTGCAGCCATGAAATGGGTTCATTCTAACATTCATTATTTTGATGGAGATCGGGATCGAATCACTATTGCTGGTCACAGCGCAGGCGCAGGAGATGTTGGTCTTCACTTAGTTTCACCACTCACCAAAGGTTAGCTTTCAAATGACACGAAGTTTTTGGTGACTTTATAAAATGCACATATTTCGATAGAAAATCTCTTCTTCTACTTTTTTTTTTCTTGGATATTAATAGAGTTTTGCAGGTTTTATTTTGGCCAATAAGTTTTTAAATAATGTGTTAGTATCGGAATAAATATTTCTTTCTTTAAACCTTTCGATAATAAATTAGAAGTTACTCTTGGGCATTGACACATTTAATATTTCACTGAATTAAAATTATTTCAAACAAAATTATATTGCATTCCATGGGAAAGAGGTGTCCTCTGTAGTTATTTATTTATTTATTTTTTATAATGGGTTGATGCTGATATTTCTTTAGACGTTTTGCTGCATATACTGATACAGATATACAATTTACTTCAAATGTTATGCATATTGATATGCACTAAACTCCAAAAAATTACATGAAGCCCATGCCGATAAGAAATAATTAATTACTTCTTATTTGATTACTTAAGGTTTATTCAGGAACGCAATCCTAATGAGCGGATCACCATTAGCACATTGGGCAATGGCGTCACCAGACCTAATCCCCGGCTCCAATATCAATTCCACAATTCTGCAATATGCACTAGATGTAGCAGACATCAGAGCTATAGATATCAAAGATATCAAAGCTATTGAGATGATATTTTCTACGGTAACTTGTAGTTTTACTCTGTTTAGACCTTGCTTTATGTGAGTCAAGTGCTAATATTAATGATAACCAAAACCAAACAAAATTAATTGTTATACATGTACCTTTAAAAATTGTTGCCTATATAAATCTTTACTTTAAAAAGTCTAACATTTTCAATTTTTTCTGAGCGGTCAACAAAAATCGATGTTGGACCGCTGAGTGAGATATTGGACCTGTCGATGAGACATTGGACCGCTACATGTATGACGTTTTTTATAGTCTCATTAAAGGCGGAATCAGCTATATCTTCTCAATAATCACAAACATGGAAACCAGAGAAAAATATGTCAAAATAAAAAGTAAAAGATATAATAAATCACCGGGCAAAATGCGTTTTGTCGACCCCTCGAACCAAACTGTTTGCCTAACAGTTTCGTTCTTGGGTTCGACAAAACACATGCTTCCCTCGAACACATTCAATAAATGTATAGTGTGTAACAGGTTTTACTGCGTTTTCCCCGGTCATTCTAAATGAGAGAAATGGTTTTAAAGCATACAAAGATGCAGTTTTTTCCACCTGCAAACTATACAATCGCAAACATTATGTTTGTGTATTACAGTCAACTTTTACGATATGTATACAGTAATCTTTTGTAAAATGCAATCAATAACCTTTTGTCTATTGCAGTTATTACCATTCAGTGTTGTTCCATATCCTGCTGTTGTAGACAATTATTTTCTAACAAAATACCCGAGATCCTCTTTTCAAAATGGCGAATTCCACGGAAATGCATTTCTTGTATCCTTTACTGCAGACGAAAGTTTTGGACCGCTCCCGGGTGAGCCTTCATAGCATTAACATTAATCATTTAAGAAATACACAAGGCTAAAATTCTGTAATTGAAATATAGTCTGTCTTATCTTGAGAAGCCACAATAACCTTTGGAAAACTTCATAAATTAAGATATTTTCCCTCTGTGCTAATACAACAAACTTAAAATATGCCAAAATTTAAAGATATGCCAAATATTATTTCTGGTGTTTATCATATTTTGTAGGTTCAATCTTTAAGTTAGATTTTCCGGGTTATCTAGTACGATATGAACCGTTTTATCCCACAATTTGTAATTTTAAAGGTAAGAAAGCAGATAAGTTGGTATAATATCTTTCCTTGATTAGTGTCTTTAGCTAAAGAAGTAATATTCTTAAATTACTCATACTATAAGCAAATTCAATGATCAACACAATTGATTAATTATCTTTTAGACACACTGAGTTCTGTGTACAGTGACATTGAAGATCCAGGGAGGAGTTTGGTTGAGGTACCTCCGGAGAAATACTTAGATATATATATTATCCAGAAATTGTAACATAAACATTTAAGAGGGATTCTGTTTATTAAACTATGATGACAGTATTGTTGACTATGTCTCATGTAAAAATAATTTTACCATCATAGCTTGTTTCATAATTGAAACAATCATCCAGAAAAAAAACCCTTTCGTTCGGAAATAGTCTCAAATAGAGTATCTGGATTTAAATTGACAATAAGTCTGTAAATTTTATTTGAAATACAACCTCTCTTGACAGGCTGAAGCAGATATGTTATTTTATGCCAGTATCATAGAACTGTCCGATCTCCTCTCGGACTCTGACGTCAAACCGTCTGTCAGTGTGTTTGAGTACGATATCTTAATGCCAGATCCTAATCAACCCAACTGGAAAGGTTTGTTGAATGCATAAATACAGTGAGCCTATACAATTTCAAGCGTACATGCCGCATGAGAATAGTAATGGCACATATATATGCATTAAAATAATGGAGGGGTGCAAACATATATGCCAATACATGTAGTAGTTTGAAGCTGTTTTTGAATTTTTACAAAATTTAAATTCTGTTTGTGTCGTTGATTGGTGTAACAGGTGTTGACCATGGAGAGGACATTTTTTATTTGTTCGGAATACCTCTGATAGGCAGCATACTTCGAAATTTCACAGAAGAAGACATCGAAGCAAGCAAATTGGAAATGACCTTATATAGCAATTTCGTCAAGACAGAGTAAGCACTTTTTGATTTTGCGGAATATCTTCCACTGTAACAGGGCATTTACCATTTCGTGATGTAAGAATATAGCGTCGTTGAAAAGGCAGAATATCTGAACAAAAAATTATGCGGTAAATGTTGCAAAATTAACTCATATCATCATCAATAATACTATATTAAAATAATAGACTCGAATTTTTGGCCTTTAATACCGATAAATCGGAAGAGTACTGTCTTTTGTTTGATATATTATAAACATCATTGGTACTTGAAGATTACCAATTTGTTTTTATTTTTTCTCAATTAAGCTTCGCTAATTAATAATCAACGAAAATTCCTCAAAAAATTCCGGAAATCATCTGGATTTTTTGGATTTTACAATCTTGCGCGTGCGCATTACATTCACGCTAAATCACGATGTTCAAATCAATCTCCCTTGCAGAGTTGTCGTTCGTTTCTCTCTCATACACGAATGTATGAGCCGTGGTGGAGAGTGTGTTCAAATCAGAGAAGACAAAAGTAAATACTAAGTAGATATATATTTGTTATTGTATAATTTCTCTAATAAGAAATCAGTAATATATATGAACAGAATATTAGCAAATTTCCAATGAAGATTTACACGTATTTGTCATAGGGGTCGGAACCGGGGGGGGGGGGGGGGCAAGGGGGGCTTAGCCCCCCTTTTTGCAAAGATAGACATTATATAGGCATTGAAAATTTGGGCTTACCTTTTTTCGTTTGTTTAGCCCCCCCCCCCAACTTTCAAATAGCCACCCCACTTTCAATTTGCTTCTGACGCCTATGTTTGTTTTTGAGTTTATATCCATACAAATGTGATATTGTGGCCACGTGGGTAATTATTCGCCATCTCGGAGACACATTTATTATATGTTATTTATATCTCTGGCCATCTCAACGGAGGCAAAAAGCTCATGATCGTAGGAGCAACATTAATGTAACTACCCGATTTATTTTATCCCTCCTTTCTTTTATGCTTTTTTGAGGGGAACTGAAAGGGGGGGGGGGTGTTACAACTCCAGTTAGAATCACATCTTAGTGAAGTAGGCATTCTTTTTCCGCTAAAAATTACAATAATAACTACTATATAAAAATTATAGACTCGAATTTTTGGCCTTTAATACCGATAAATCGGAAGAATACTGTCTTTTGTTTTATATATTTTAAACATCATTGGTACTTGAAGATTACCAATTTGTTTTTATTTTTTCTCAATTAAGCTTCTATTTTCATTACTTTTTCTATGTACTAATTCAAGGATATTACATTAATATTTATCAAAACAGACAGTCTTTTACAGATTATATACCTGTCTATTACCTGTGTATATATAAAGTATATGTATTAGCCGTGCTTAACTCTTTTATTGTTGAGGTCATATTTTGAACAAGTTGAGACCTGCAGTGTTAAAATTGTTACAAAAACTTTTACACCTTTACTTTAATAACTGATTGTGTAAAAATACCAGCTTAGCACATTTCTTCATTTCATTACTTTGCTGGATATGTATCAGCAGTGTGCTCAACTCTTTGCTGTTGTCATATTTTCAATGAACATCCATAATTTCTTTTATTAAATTTGTTTGGAAGGGTGAAATTTTTGTAAGCTCCGGCGTGATTCGAACTCAAGACTTGATTTATAGCTAACTGTTGGTCAAACCCATTCTGCGCTACGCCGTTACGCAACAATTAAAAAAAAACAAAACAAAACAAACACCAAAAAAAAAAAAACAAAACAAAACAGAATATTCACATTCATTGTTTATTTGAAAAATACCTTACAATATGAATGTGTCGATGTATCTATTTTGTAAATGTCCGATATGCACATGGATGCATTCATAACAATGTCAACCCGTGCACGCACGGGTCAAAGTCTAGTTTTGTCTATAAATTCAGGCCCGTAGAATTTTCCATTAGATGCTGGTTGCCCCCCCCCCCCCCCACACACACACTTTTTGATGTTGTAAGGCCAAGTACTCACTGGCAAATTCAAGAATTTGGATAGTAAATTAGCCTTTTTTCTTCTTTTTCTTCTTTTTTGTTTTTGCTTGTCAGATAATTTTGGGAAGTTGCCCCCCCCCCCCCAACTTTTGAAACCGTTGCCACGGGCCTGAAATTTTCATATTTGTTTTTAATGGCAAGGATGCAAAATGAACTCATATTTCTGAAAAAGCACATCGTGAAAATATTAATTTTGTCTGCAAGGAATAACAGCTTAATTTTGAATTATTCACAGATTATTTTCACTGGATGGTTTAACAAGATTGGGCAGCTTATACAACACACAACATCGGTCTTACTGCAGAATGTATTCTGATGGTAACAATGTTACCTTTGGATATTTCCAAAATTTTCGAAAATCAAAGATGGAATTTTGGAATAATGTGGCTCAAAATAAACAATCTCCCTGTGATAAAACTTCAAAGGCAACTTTAAATGATATTGATATATATTTTTTTATATTCATTGTATATTACTGGTTTGTTACTGATGTGTATTGATCAATAAAAAAGCGAAAATAGAATTGTTTGTGTGTGTGAGGGTGTATGTATTTATTTGTTTATTTATTCAGGAAACGTCTAAACAAAAAAAAAAAAAAAAAAAAAAGAAAAGAAAAATCACCCATCTTTGTTTTCTTGCCAATGAAGACAAAGTTTGTCTGAAGATTCCTTTTTAGCTCACCTGAGCTGAAAGCTCAAGTGAGCTTTTCTGATCACATTTTGTCTGTAGTCCGTCTAGCTGTCTGTCTGTCTGTCCGTCCGTCTGTAAACTTCTCACATTTTCGACTTCTCCAGAACCACTGGGCCAATTTCAACCAAATTTGCCACAAAGTATCCTTGGGTGTAGGGGATTCAAGTTTATCCAAATGAAGGGCCACACCCTCATTCGGGGGGAGATAATTCAGAAATAGTGAAAATTTGGTGGCATATTTTAAAAATCTTCTTCTCAAGAACCACAAGCCCAAAAAAGTTGAAACTTATAGGAAACCTTTGTTATATAGAGTAGATTCAAGTTTGTTCAAATTATGACCCCTGGGGGTAGGGTGGGGCCACAATGGGGGATCAAAGTTTTATATAGAAATATATAGGAAAAAACCTTTAAAAATCTTCTTCTCAAGAACAGCAAAGACATGATGAGTCATATTTATATGGAAGCATCCTCAGATAGTGTAGATTCAAATTTGTTCAAATGATGACCCCCGGGAGTAAGGTGGGGCCACAATGGAGGATCAAAGTTTTTCTTAGAAATATAAAGGAAAAATCTTTAAAAATCTTCTTCTCAAGAACAGCAAAGCCATGATGAGTCATATTTATAAGGAAACATCCTCAGGTAGTGTAGATTCAAGTTTGTTCAAATCAAGAACCCCGGGGGTATGGTGGGCCCACAATGGAGGATCAAAGTCTTAAATAGAAATATATAGGAAAATATTTACTTCTGAAGAACTGCAAAGCCATGATAAGTCATTTTGATATGGAAGCATCCTCAGGTAGTGTAGATTCAAGTTTGTTCAAATGATGACCCCCGGGGATAGGTTCGGGCCACAATGGAGGATTTTACATATAGGAACATATAGAAAAATATCTTCTCAAGAACTGAAAATCATGTTTAGTCATTTTGATATGAAAGCATCCTAAGGTAGTGTAAATTCAATTTTGTTCAAATGATGACCCCCGGGGGTAGAGTGGGGCCCAGGAGGGGGGTCGAAAGTTTTACATAAGAACATATAGAAACAAGATGTGTTTGTGAAACACTATGCCCCCGATGGTAACACAATTCTGGAGTGGGACATAGACTACAGTGCAATAGTTATGGCCAATGTTAAAGGTTTTAAAATGTAGGTCAAAGGTCACAGTTGAGGTCACATGATCAAAAATTTCTGTACCAATGGATAGGTCTTATCATAATGAACACTCGTGTCAAATATTAAAGCCTTGCCTTTGACAGCGCAATAGTAATGGGCTAGGTTAAAGTTGACAACAGACAGACAGACAAACAGACAGACAGGACAAAAACAATATACCCCCTAGATCTTTCGATCAGGGAGCATAAAAATATTTCTTCTCAAGAACAGAAAAGCTATGTTCAGTCATATTGATATGGAAGCATCCTCAAGTAGTGTAGATTCAAGTTTGTTCAAATGATGACCCCTGGGATAGGGAGGAGCCACAATGGAGGATCAAATTTTTACAAAGGAAGATATGGGAAAAATTTTTAAAAATTTTCTCAAGTACAACAAAGCCATTTGTTATATTGACATGGAAGCATCATCAGGTAGTTTAAAATTCACCCCCTCCCCACGGTAATCTTTTTAATACTGAACTGATTTGTGCTTTTGCCTAGCCAATGTGCTCAGGTGAGCGATGTGGCCCATTGGCCTCTTGTTTTTCTATTTTCATAGAAACGGTTACTATTCTGAAAATTTAAATGTTGCATACGACATGTAAGTACAATTGGTGCTATCCTATCATTGCAGTCAAATTACATTAAGATTGTTCAAGGCAGTATACTTTTTACCGCAAGAATTCGTGCAGAAAAAAAAACAGAAGAAAAAATCGAAGAAAGTGAACGATAAGAACTTCGTTTGGGGTGACATAATTCAAAAGGAACATGGAGAAGAAACACAAATTTAATTGTCGCATGCAGTGCTTCTTTAACCTACGATATTCCCTACATAAATATTCTGTGACACTGGAAGACCAAAGACGAATTTAAAAATATATATCTCATATTTATGGTGGCATATATATGCCATCCACATAATTTTTTGTCAACATAAGATATCGAGTCAAGTCAAGATAACAATTACGTCAAGTCATGATAACTTGCTAGTTTTGTCGAGATACACGAACTTCTATCTCCTCTAGTCAAGATAAGCTATCACATTTTTTTGTGGTGATAGCGATCTCGACATAACGAGATAATTTATCTTGTATCATGACTAAAAATGTTGTGTTGACAAGTACTGCTTCTTCAGCATTGCAGTCACGATAACTGTATATACATGTACATTTATAAAAAAAAAAGTTCTACGGGTCATTTTCAAATGAAATATGCGGCTCTTCTATCAAATTATTACTCTAGGTATTGCACGCATAATTTCAAAGGAATTCAGTTGGAACCAATGTGTGTTCAAACCGTGTCTTTATTTTCAGTAAAAATAAAATACAAGTACATGTTAACCAAACCAATGAGTTTTTACATAATTAAATGTAATATTTGCAATTATTTATTCATTTATTTTTATCAGAGATCAATACTTGGCTAGATTATTGTTATGGGTAGTTTTTGATAAATGAATGACTCTGTGCAATGATTGTTTTGCTTATGCCATGTCACTAACTCAGAAAAAACCAATAATGGAAATTTTGAATCAGGTGAATGGGTTATTTTGTTTCATGTTAAAGGAAAAAGCGTATTGAACGGTTTATTTAAAACTCTTTATTCTTAAAAATAACGTTCATCCAATAGACAAATTCAAACAATAAATTGCTTCAATAGCATTGATGAAATAGAAGAATAATTTTAATAAAAGAGATCCGCATAGTTTCACTGGAAAATGACTGAGATACCCGTTAAACGTCATTTATAAATAGATACATACATGTACAAGTATACAGTTATCATGACAGCAATTATGAAGAGGCAGTATTTGTCAATGCAACAAATTTAGTCATGATACAAGATAAATTATTTCGTCATGTCGAGATCACTATCACAACAAACTGTGATAGCTTATCCTGACTAAAACGAGATAGAAGTTGGTGTATCTCAACAAAACCCGCAAGTTATCTTGACTTGACGAGATAGTTATCTTGACTTGACTCGATATCTTATGTTGAAAAAATTTATCTGGATGGTATGGTGGCATATTTATGCCATCCTATGGTGGCATATTTATGCCATCCACATAATTTTTTGTCAACATAATATATCGCGTCAAGTCAAGATACCTATCTCGTCAAATCATGATAAGTTGTTGGTTTTTTCGAGATACACCAACTTCTATCTCATCTAGTCAAGATAATCTATAACATTTTGTTGTGATAACTATCTCGACATAACGAGATAATTTATCTTGTATTATAACTAAAATTGTTGCGTTGACAAGTACTGCCTCTTCATAATTGCAGTCACGATAACTGTAAATGTACAAGTACATATACTAGTATATAAATAGATAACGTGTTACGGGTGCCTCGGTCATTTTCCAATGAAAGAGGCTGATATCTTCTATCAAATTGTTATTACTCTAATAAGTATTGCACGCATAATTTCAAAGGAATTCAGTTTGAACCAATGTGTGTTCAAACCGTGTCAGTCTTTGTTTTCAGCAAAAAATAAAATACAAGTACGTGTGAACCAAACCAATGAGCTTTTTACTTAATTACATGTAATATTTGCAATTATTAATTCAATAAACTGGCTTTTCAATTAAATACACTGGTTTTTTTTTTTGTTTTTTGTTTTGGTTATCAGAGATCAATACTTGGCTATAATATTATCTGTAGTTTTGAATAACTGATTAACTCTTTGCATTAATTATTTTACTTATACCATGCCAGTAACTAAGAAAAGACCAACAATGGAAATTATGAATTAAGTCAATTGGTTGTTTTGTTTCATATTCAACGGAGAAAGTTTATGGAACGGTTTATAAATTAAAAAAATCTTTATCTCTTAAAAATTATATTCCTCCAATACACAATTACAAAAATTAAATTGGTTCAAAAGCAGTGATGAATTTGAAGAATAATTTCAATAAAAGAGATCCGCATAGTTTCACTGGAGAACGACTGAGAAACCCGTAACACGTCATCTATATAAATATATACATACATATACGAATATACAGTTAGTGATCGTGACAGCAATTATACGAAGAGGCAGTACTTGTCAACGCAACAATTTTAGTCATAATACAAGATAAATAATCTCGTCATGTCGAGATAGCTATTGCAAAAAAAAAAAAAATGTGATACATGTAGCTTAACTTGACTAGACGAGATAGAAGTTGGTGTATCTCGACAAAACCAGAAAGTTATCATGACTTGACGAGATAGTTATCTTGACTTGACACGATATTTTATGTTGACAAAAATTATGTGGATGGCATAAATATGCCACCATACCATCCACATAATTTTTTGTCAACATAGCATATCATGTCAAGTCAAGATAGCTATCTCGCCAAGTCATGATAACTTTCTGGTTTGTCGACAAATACCTACTTTTTATCTTGTCCAGTCAAGATAAGCTATCGTATTTTTGCGATAGCTATTTTATTCATGATGCAAGATAAGTTGTCTCGTCATGTCAAGATAGCTATCGCAACAAATGTGATAGCTTATCTTGACTGGACAAGATATAAAGTTGGTATTTGTCGACAAACCAGAAAGTTATCATAACTTGGCGAGATAGTTATCTTGACTTGACATGATATGCTATGTTGACAAAAAATTATGTGGATGGCATAACTATGCCACCATAGGATGGCATAAATATGCCACCATACAAATTAAAAGG